AGCTGAGGCAATGAGGAATGAAGTCCTAAGCCACCTCATTGACCCAGAGTAGCTCTAAGATAGACAAGATCTAGCTATGGCAATTTCAGAAGAGAATTTGGTAGAACAAATGCTACGTAGAAACTGGTTTAAGTTTGAGTCCACTCTTCACAGGACCAAATCAGTATTTAGGAAAGGGTATAAAGTATTTGTACTTTGCTCTCTCTATTTTTTCAGGAACTATCCCTTAGAAAAAACTAATTGATGTCCATTGGTTAAATGAAATTCAGCACTAGTGACCACCATTTAATAATGCAGAGAACATACCAGATAGGGTCTCTGGCTGATAACATTGGAGAAGAAATACCCCTCAACACATCAGGGGTACCCCTTAACACCCTGAAGGGGAGAAGCAGCAGTCCCCACTACTCTCAGGGACCTGGATCATGAGTGTAAGTTGTGATAAGAAACTCAGAGTTTTGCTACATAAGCATTAGATGATTAGGACCCACACAAAATGGGTACCAGTGAGGCTGGAAAGGAGAAAGGGACATCTTAAATTGTGGGATATAAAAAATATCTGCATTAGAGTTCAAAGAAAGAAGAGATCAGCATCAACTGGAGCATTCAGGAAAAATGACATTGGACTTAAGTTGGGTCTTGAAACTCATTTTTCCCATCTTAGAAGAGAAGACTGGACTAGAGTCCTTGCAGGTGAATGGGCAGAATAATAAGTCAGTATTAATGGAAAGAGGATTGAGTCAGGGGTAAGGACACATGGGTTTCTGGTCCCAGCTTTGCTATCAACATGTTGTTAAGTTGCTTCATTTCTTTGGGACTCATTTTCTTTACGTGTGAATTTAATAAGTGGTTTGGAGTAGGGGATTTAAAGTGGAAAGACCTGGTTTCTTATCCTGGACTACATTTTACTTACATAACTTTGCGCAAGTAATTTCACCTGCCTGGCTCTCAGTTTCTTTCTCTATGAAAAGAGATTTGGGCTTTATGACCATCAAGGTTGTTTCCATCTTCATAGTCTCTGATTGCATGAATCTGTCAGTTGTAAGCCAGTTCTGTCCCTGGATCAGCCTTTAGTCACAAGACCCTTTCCTTGTGATTTTGTTTTAAATTGATGATGTTGCCATTTATATTGCTTATTTTTCCTTTAATTAGTTCTGCTTGGTATCTGGGGCTTTGTTTTTATTGTCTGAGTTAATGTGCACCTTTGGTGCTGCCCAATTCTTTTTGGAGTTCTACCCTGGACATTTTGACTCACTTTAGGCAGAGAATTCAGCATAGGAGAAAAAAAAACATCCTTGTTTGCCTTCCTCTTCAACAGAAGTGGGGGAGGAGGACACCTGTTTTGGCTGCTGTACTATGGGTGCTCATTGGCAGAGAGGAGGGAGCATGAAATTCACAGCTGGAAGCTGTGGACTGGGGGAATTAGGAAACCCGGGAATGGCATTTGGGCTAGTTTGCTCTTAACGGCGGAGTAAGGGTAGAGGTGGAGACAGCAGAGGATGGTAGGGTAGAAGAGGGGAGAAATGAGTAGGGGAGAGAGGGAGCAATAAAGGAAGAAAATAAAGGGAAAGGCAGAAAAAGGAGAGAGGCAGGATAACCAGACAAGGCAGGCAGATGGGGAAGGGGGAGACAGTAAAGGGATTGGGTAGGAGAAAAAGAAAAAGCCAGATGGAGGAGGGAGATGGTGAGGCAGGCAAGGGGGAAGGGAGAAGAGGTAGGCAGTGGAGGGGATGGCAGTGAGGATGGAGGGGAGGGAAGTAGTCGGCAGTGAAGGGGCAGAGGGAGGGAGGGAGAAGGAGGAAGACAGTGAGGGGGAAGGGAGAAGCAGTGTGCAGGGAGGGCAGGCAGCAGGGATGGGGAGGGAAAAGAGTGGAGGCAGGGTATGAAAGCATAGTGGTCTTGTACTAGGGAAATCCTGCAGTATTCTGCCTGGCGGTAGAGCTATGAGCAAAAGGGAAAATGAATCTTTTAGCTTTTCTGATCTTCAGTTTCCTCCTCCATAAATGTTCTTGATCTGTTTCCCTCCCATCTTCCTCAAGCTTAAAAAATCGGCACTTGACCCTCCTATCTCCCAAAGCAATCATCCTATCCTTCTCCATTTTATAGCCAAACTCTTAGAAAAAGCTGTCTACACTCATTCCTTCCACTTCCTCTCCTCTCACTTCTCAACTCCTAGAATCTGGCTTCTGACCTTTACTCAACTGAAACCATTCTTTTTCCAAGGTCACCAGTGACCACAGCCTTTTTCTTAGTTCTCATTCTTCTTGACCTCTGTAAAGCACTTCACATTTGCCTACCCCTTCCTCCTAGATGTTCTCTCTTCCTATGCTGGACCATCAAATATGTCTCACTCAATATATATGAGTATGTCAGGTCTGTCTTGGGCCTTTCTTCTCCCTCATCTTCCCCTCTCTCTACTTGCCCCTATCTTGTTCAACTATCATCTCCATGCAGATGTCTTCCAGATGAAAATAATACCCAGTCCTAGTTTCTCTCATAAGTTCCAGGTCCCCATTAGAAACTGTCTATTGGATTTTTAAAACTAAATGTCCCACAGGCATATGAAATTTAACATGTCCCAGACTGGACTACTATCCTTCCCTACTGGACTACTATCCTCTTTGCTTTCTACGTTTGATATTTCTTTTAGGGGCTCCATTATTGTTCAGGTTACCTGGATTAATAAACCTGGAGTGATCTTTGATTTTTCCCTTTCACTTATAACCTTTATCCAATCAGATGACAGGTCTTATTTACTTCCACAACATCTCTCATGCCTGTCTACTTTTCTCCACTCACATTGTAATCGCTCTAATTCAGGCCTCATCATCTCTCACCTGGCCTAATGCAATAACTCCCTAATTATTCTCCTTGCCACAAATCTTTCCACTGTACAATCCATTTCCACATGGCACCAAACTGACAGGCAAGCCGGCTGACACCCTGAGGGAAAGACAGGAAGCAGCATTGCTAGTCTGACTACTAACACCTTGACCACCATCTCCCCTCCAACTCTGATGGAGATAGCCCAGGACCTAAGACCAAGAGTCAGGATTAACAGTGCCCCACAAACAACCAAGACCTGCTTCTGGCACAGCCCTCACAGCCATTATTGAGGGGAGGAATCCTAATGGAGAGAGGGCCCACAGTCTTCAACACCACCAACAACAACTGCTGACCAACTGCCAACAACAGGCAGACAGGAGCCCTTGGAGTGGAAGCCCCACTGTCCTGGACTACCAGTCCTGCTGCCAGCCCCACCCAGACAGCCATTATCTGGGAAGCAACCCCTGTGGAGGAGGGTAAAGCCATCTCCAGCAACTGTCCACCAATGGCCACACACAAAGGACAGGCAAGTCAGCCTAGCAGAAGCAGCCACAGGAGGCAGCATGCACCAAGCTGGTTATACCACCACCAAGCACCTTGGAAACCCTGTCCCTTCAGACCCTGATGGAGACAGGCCAGGACCCTGAACTCAAAAGTCCTATGAATAGCAAGGCGTCCAGTTGCAGAGGCCTTGACCATCACCCTGGCAAGCAACTCCTGTGTAGATGCAGCCTGGAAACTGCTCCTGCAAAGTCTGCGGCCACAACTACCAACAGCCCAGGAAGTAGAGCTCTTGCTACCAAATTCCTTGGCACCATCAAATGGCTCAATATCAGAAACTGATATGATTTGATCAGTGGGAATGACATCAAAGGAGCATTAACATCTGCTTTGCTGCTGTATCCTAAGGATCATGAGACTTTTCCATCTGATTTGCCACGGAAACCTTCCATATGTGTTATCTTCTCCATTAGAATGTGAGCTTCTTGACTACTTATACCACGGTGCTTTGCATATAGTTAGAGCTTAATAAATGCTTTACTCATTCATTCATATTCTTAAAACACAGATCTGAAACATCTTATTACTCCCTGCTCAAGAAACTCCTGGGCCTTCCCTAAAACCCAAACTCCCTTGCTTTAACGTTTAAAGTCCTTCATCATCTGGCACTAACCTATCTCTCTAGGCCTATTATGAACTATTGTTCATTGCTGCCCTTCATTCATTCTAAGTCCCAGCCAGACTTGCATGCTTGCTGTTCACCATACATGACACTCCATCTCCTGCCTCTCTATCTTTGCACAAGCTGAACCCCCATGCCTGGAAAGCACTCCTTTCCAATCTCAGCCCATCAGAATGGGTTAATTTTCTAGTTTCCTTCTAAGACTCAAGTCAAGAATTGCCTCCTACATGAGGCCTGTCATGATTCCACTAAGTGTTGACACCTCCCTCTGATACCTCTGTATTACATTTGTGTATCTGTATAAATATCTTGTATTCACTTTTGGGCATACCTGTTGTGCAAGCTGAACCACAAATAAAATGTAAAATCCTTAAGCATAACGGCTGTTTTGCTTTTTGCCTTTGCAACCCCAGCACCTAACACAGAACTTGGTACATAATAAACACATAACAAATGCCTGCTGAATTAATGGATGAAAGGAGGCTGAATTTTTTTTCTTTTCCTTTTTTTTTTTTTAGGCAATTGGGGTTAAGTGACTTGCCCAGGGTCATACAGCTAGTGTCAAGTGTTTGGTCTGAGTTCAGATTTGAACTCAGGTCCTCCTGATTTCAGAGCCAGTGCTTTATTCACTGTGCCACCTAGCTGCCCCAGGACGTTGAATTTTCAGCTCTTGGGAAGCAGATTTAGGCATGAAAGTGACTAGACTTCCTCAGGAAAAAGATGCATAAATGTCTTCAAGTCAAATCAAGTCATGACCACCTGCTGAGTATGCTGTCCAGATGATTTTTATCCAAGTATAGAGATACACTCTATAGATCCTGCCAACCCAGAGATTTTTGACACTGAAGATGAAAGGGTTAAGGAGGAAGCAAGCTAGAAGGGCAAGGCTAGCAGAAACAGAGAAGGAAGGCGGCATGGGGAGACATTTGCTGGTAAACAGAAGGAAGGACTATGCAAAGGAGTTACTGGAGCTCAAGGGGAGGTATGGATGTCAGAAGAAGTTTATTTATTCACCGGATTAGGCTAGAGAAGACTAAGTAAAAGAAAGAATTGGGGTTTGAGTGACAGAGGCTGAGGGAGCCAAAGCTGGAAGAGAAGTAAGAGCTTGAGGGCAACAAGCCAGGAGCAGGAAATTAAACAATAATCAGGAAGGAAAGGAGCCCAGGTCTATAGCAAGGGAGTTTGTGCCATAGCTGGGAGAGAGGACCGGCTTAGGAGACTGATATGTTAAATGGGGCTTAGCGAAGAGATGCAAGAAGGACCGGAGGAGGGCTCGTAAACTGCAGTGAACTGTTTGCAAAGTTGTTTCAACAGGAGGAAAAGTAGTTATGAAGAATGGTCCTTCCTTCCTCAGAACTTGGCTGAGGAGTTGTTTATGGATTGAACATGTATTGTGTATAAGCCTGTAATGTGATCCTGGGTGGAATTACGCCAATGGAGGGCAGCTGGAGCCCTTTGAAGGGGTCTAAAGGCAACTAGGCTGAAGAAGAGGACAGGTAGCTCCGAAAAGCTGGCCAGCACAGAGCAATATGGAAGAAGCAGTGCAGTCAAAAGAATGTTACCCTTGAGGGCAAAGGACCTGGGTCTTAATCCTACTTCTGCCACCTTTTACCTGTTTGAAATTCAGTAAGTCCCTTTACCTCTTCATACCTCAGTTTCCTTTTCTATAAAATAAAGGGATTGCCTTAGATTAGTGGTTCCCAAACATTTTAGTCTCACTCTAACAAATGACTGAGGTCCTCAAACAACTTTTGTTTATGTGAATTATATAGATATTTATCATATTAGAAGTTTAAATGTCTTAGTATTATTATGAAAATAGTTTAGACCTCCTAAAAGAGTCTCAGGGACTCCCAGGGGCCACACTTTGGCCACACTTTGAGAACCACTGGTCCAGATGATCTCTAAGGCTCAGCTCAAATCTCTGATCCTATGACAACTGTAGATGGTACTAGCACAGAATGTCTTATGCTAGAAAAGGTGTGAGTATAGCCTATCTACATCGAAAATCTACCACGTTCCTATCACCTCTGCCCAAATTCTCCCACCCAAGGCAACCTATTTCACTTCTGGACAACTCCTACTGATATTTCTGTTGCCCTGAATTATAGATTTAACTATTTCTAGCCAGCATAAATATTCTTAAAAGCTCTAAAACTCCATTTGTGACATGGTCTATGAAGGGAATGGGGGTACAGTATGAAAGGGTTCTAAAGGGTGAGGCTACTTCTCTGAGATCTGTGGACCAACTGTTTAGTCAAACTGAATGCTTACTTCTTTGCCTGTCCTAAAATTCAAGGAAAATTTTTTTCAAGCATTCACTAAGAGCTAAGAGAGCATAGGGAGTGAGAGGGGAAAGGAAAGATGCCTGTTTGGGAATTGTTACTTGGTACCATTACATATGGCTTCTTATCAGTAAACTAATGCTACTTTTACTTTAATGAACAACATTAGCACTGAACCATACTGTGAAAAAAATCTAAAATATGGAGTACAGGGGAGAGGAGGAGGAGGAAATTAATCTTGCTCTGATACCCTAGAGCTAAATTCTGATTAGATCAGAAAAAAAATGAGAAAGGGGGAGTCAGGTTAGAAATGAACTTAGCCACATGCCAGACAAATGAGTTTCGCCATCACCAACAGGTGAGCTAAGCCAAACGTGTTGTAGTGGAAAGTCTACTGGCTGAGAAGTTAGGAGACTTAGGTTCTAGTCCTAGAGTCCTGGCTCTGCTGCTGATTTGTTTTGTGGCTCGGGGCAAGTCACTCTCCTGCAGGATCTCAGGTTCTTTATCAGTAAAAAGAAGGCTTCATTAGATAGTCCCCAAGACCTTTTCCAGGTCCAGAATTCTGTGTGCTGTGTTCTAAGGTCCCTTCAACATCTGATGTTTTGTGTTATAAGGTTCTTCCCAGCTCTAATATTCTGAGTTTTATATTCTAAGATCCCTTCCAGTTCTATAACTGTGAAAACACAAAAATTGAAATTCCTATTGAAAACCAACCAGAGACAGAGCTTCAGCATCCTAGCAGGAAGCACTATTCTAAGAAATTGGCCAAAGAATTCAACATTACAAGACCTAAGCCTATAGCCAGAGATGAGGACCAAAATCAGAAATGGTACCACTACTTGTGCATGCCAGTCCTAAAGTCCACAACTCAGAGTCTACAAACACACTTGTAGGTAACAACATAAAATATCAAACTGAAGATACCATCTTCCTAGCAGCAGGGCACATCATTAAAGTAGACTCCCTTAGTAAATTCCATGTGTGTGAAATCCTATCATCTTGACTCTGGCTAAAAGAGCTTACTTTACATTCGTAGAGTATTTTACAGTTTGTAAAGCATTTGTATGTCTATTGTCTCATTTAATCCCCACCATAACCTTGTGAAGTGGCAAGTCTTACCATATCTGTTCAACAGAAGAGCAAATGGAGATTCAGAAAGGTGAAAAGACCTGTACAAATGTAACACAATCCACAAAGCCCATTGGTATGGGACTGTCTCTTCATTATTGGAGATCAATGTCCCATGCCTGTGTGAGGGACAGGGCAGAATTGGCAAGAGAGAGAAGCGAGTTCTCAGAAGTTCTTTTAGCTTCTAAAGAGACAATATCCGATGTCAACCTCCCTTAAGATTGCTGAAGGGAGAGAAAGACTCTGGGGAGATGCAGACATGAGAGGAACTGGCAGTCTATCATGTCTTTATCCTCACCTTGCCATACTAGAGACTTCAGGGAATGTTCCTTTCAGGTGAGAATCTTGGACTCTCTCCTTTGGTTGAACTATCTTGCTCCCAGTGGGAGCACTCCTTGAATCTATTTTGTTTAGTAATATTTAGCAATATGTTCCTGCATATACTTTCTTTAATTTCTATTTTGCTATTGACTTGGATAAATAGGTTTCTTTGCTCTTTACTTTGTGCATTTACTATGGAACTGGTACTTGGTGGTAAGGGAGCCAAGCTTAACTACAAAACTTTCTTTCCCATTAATGAATAGCAATCGGGAGTTTAGCTTGAACCTTAAAGTTACTTCCCATAGACTAACACTATGTTAGGGAACAGATAGATATAATTCTAGCCTAGTACCTCCCCTCTCCGAGAGAGCAGAATGGCCAGTCTCTAGCCCCAAACTATTGCCTCTTCTCCTGGCAGAAATTAAAGCCTCCCTTGAAGGAAAATGGAGGGGGATGGGAAGAGACATTAAAGATGTCTCCTTGTGAGCCAGTCATCTTGAGAAAGTAACATTACACAAGGAAACCTAGGGACTGGGCTGGCATTCAAGTGCAGGTTTTCTGACTCTGAGTCCAGTGCTCTTTCTAATATAGCTGAGTTCAGGAATCAGGTCCATTGCTGATGTAAGTAAGGGGAAAAAATGATGGAGTTATCTTTAGCCGGAGGGAAAACAGTAAGTTAAGGTGTATCAAAGCATTTCAGCACAAAGAGGAGAAAAGACGATAAATTTGTTTTGAGGTCAAAACTGGTTCTGCCTTTGGGCCCCCTTAACCACTAAAATGAAAGGGCAGGGAATTACCTCGCCCTGCTAATAGAGTTCAGGGATTAATTTCCCAGTTAAAACAATTTTTTCCTTTTTTTCTTGAGATTTTAAATTTCCTAAAATTTAGAGCCTCCAGTTGTCTTGTTTAGAATATCCAGCTGCCCTGCCCTTATGTCATATCTAAACAAAAACATAATGTATACAAAACCCCAGATGCCAGTCCCCTGGGTTATTCATTCAGACAATAAAAAGGTAAAGACTTTTAATGATCACTACATAGTAGGTGGTTTTGATTGAGGAAGAAGAGGACAAGAAAAGCTTAAAAAAACCAAGGACACTGGTTTGGTGAAAACACTGGTCAAAGCAAGAGGCGTTGGAATACTCCTTGCTCCGCATTGTCTCTTCCAGGCTCTCCCTCCACCTCCTTCAAGGTTCATTCAATCCACATCTACCACCCAATCAAAATTGTAGTAACTGTTGTCTACCAACTTCCAAAATACTCTCCATTCCTCAGACTTCATTTAATTTTAATAGTATTCTATTTTCCCCCCAGTTACACATCAAAAAATGTTTTAGCATGCATTTTTCCAATATTTCCTCAATGACTTTAGTGCCTGGCTCCTAGTCTTTCTCTTCTCTCCAACTCCTGCCTTCATATTTGGAGACTTCAACATATATATTGACACTCCCTCAAACACCTTACCTTGACTGACCAGATAGACTGATTTTAGGCATAGGGTTAACGAAGAAGAGATGTTGGATGGGGTATGGGAGTGAACCTTCGCAGACTGTGTGAGGAAAGGACAGGGGCTATGGTGAAGAACAGGCATGAGACCAGGCTGGAATAAGGCTTGATGAACATGGAAGGCTGAGACTGGAGATAACAGGGTACTCAGGGTCAGGATAGGGAAGCAATTGGAGAAGTCTTAACCTGAAACCCAAGGGTAAGATGTGACTAAACAGTTTACCTAATATTAAACTTCAGAACCCCCTAAAGCTTTTCTCCCTCCCCCCCTTCTTTTTCTACATCTCCCTCAGTCACACCTTCTGTTGTCTGTCCAGGGTTGTGCTGGTGAATGTTTAACAACCGACTGTAAGAAAAAAAATGTATGCACAACATACTTTTAAAGTTTAATCAGCATTATTAACATTTTTTCCAACACTTGCTTAAGTCTAGATAATCAACAAAACAAAAATCAAGTCCTGATTTGTATCCTTTGCTGATTTCTGAGGTATAAGGGCTCAGACTGAAAATTCAATAGTCTCTCAAGAGTCAGTACAAATTGGCTCCAGCATACCCCCTGTGTCTTTCCTTCTCCCTTTGTATTTCTCTAAAGTCCCTTTTGTCTATCCACCCATTATATGTACAGTGAGGTCTTGCAGGCCTCATGTGGGTGTCACCACGAGGATCAAAATGCTTGAGATGCTTGCTGGTTCAAGCAGAAATCTCCTGGTGCCCTTCTTCTTGAATCTCTCATGGACTTTGCCCTGATCTGATCTTGGGGTTGGGAAGGGCTGACCCTGATTCAAAAGATCTCCCCTGCCATGTCTGGACTTGGAAGAAGAAGAAAAGGTGCCTAAGGGCTAAGGAGATGAAAGTAGCAGAAGGGCTGCAGCTGTGAAAAGCAGACACAGACACAATGCATTATGGATAAATCATGATGAAGCATGTGGGAGTGAAACCCATGCTGCTGAAGTCCATAGCACTGAGACCAGTGATCTTTATTTTTCTCCCCCTTCCCTTTCTCTCTCCCAAAAGGGTGAAGGTCTGCTCTCAAAACTAATACCTCTCTGGGGCTTTCAGGGTACTTTGCTTAAAAATTTGTTTCTAAATTTTTTTTTTGTAGTTTAAAATTTTATTTTGTTCTCTTAAATTGGCAAATATGCTAAAGTTGTTGATGCAAGCTGCTAAAGGATATGTATTCTTACTTGATCTGATCATTTTTGGCTGGGGGCTCAGAGTTATATGAGAAATTTATTAATTTATTTTTACAATTTCCCAGGGCAAAGGTTATATACATTTACTGGGGTTTCTCTGGGCAAATGAGTCAGCAATAGCAGCTAGGAAGCATACCGGTTGGGCAATGAGGCTGGCATCTGCCCTTACATTGGTCCAAGGAAAGGGACCAAG